TCAAAACCTTTTTCATAATTAAGTGTATCCTGTAATCAGTGCTAACAAGAAAGAGCTAATCTTTCATTAAATTCGTTTTTAATTTAATTCTACCCTAATTTAATTTTGCATCACTTAAAATGTATGTTTTTAAATGGATATTTACACTTTAATGCAGGTGGCTTTGAAATTAATTTGTTCTTTGCTTAACCTGATGCAACCTGAGCGCTGAGTCTTCCGGTTTCCTTGGCAATTGTTGCCAACGCCACAATTCTCTTACAGCATTTCTTAGATTCCCTGGTGGTTTAGTTGAATGCTTAACAAAATTCAAGGTAACAAACAGCTCTGTGAACAAGGGCTAGATTAGTAACGTACTCAGATAGAATTGAATGCTGATATTGACCTAAAGCATTCTTTAAAAGTTTTGTTTTTCTCTTGTGCATCACATTTTGTTAGTTAAATATGTTTCCTGTATTCACCTAGAACTCCAAGAATTGGACATTTACAAGGAGAGGGTTTATAGACTGAGGAGTTTTCCATTTGCCTGGTGGTTACCTGTTGTCCTAGAAATAAGGACCTAGGATATCCCTACAGGCCCAGGAAATCCTCAGTTCATCTGCAGCAAATGTGGCAGTTGTCACCACCTATCCCAGTGTTCCAGCCTGACTGAGTTACTGGTGCTGACAGCCGTCTTTGGCTCTTTTGCTGACTTCCAGATCCTGCAGAAGCCCAGGAATTTTGTCCTCACACCTGAAGAGCAGCAGCACCTCTGTCTGCAGGCACGGATGGCAGAGAGCAGCTTGGGGTCATCCCTCCTCTGGGCTGGGATTGGTACCAGTTTTCTGCCACTGCGGCAGGAATGGGAAGGTCCCCTCACAGTCTAGCTCTGGGCCCACGGCCCTCAGACTGGCTGGCCCAGGAAGCTCTGCTTTTGGAGGGGAAACGGGGTAAGGGTGTGAGGACACTCCTGGACACTTCGCCCTGTCCGGAAACCAGTGGAAGCATACTTTTACGCTTTCAGACATTCTCCTCTCTCCAGTAACTATATGTTTCTAGAACCTTCTTCTGTGCGAGAGAGACAGTTGGGGATATTGAGCAGCCTGCAGAATTGAGCATTTATTTCTGGAGGCAGAAGTGAGGCAGTTTGGGGTCCTAGGCTGCTTTCAGAGAGCTGCCCCAAGGAGGCAGAGGGAGGCTCTATCCCCTTGAGACCCAAGAAGACTAAATGTGGGTTTAGAAGCCTGCAGTGGGGAGTGAGATTGGTGGGTGCTGTCCCCCATTCAAACTCTGCCTGAAGTCCACAGGAAGCATCTAATAAATGCCCTCAGGCAGGGCTCTGCAAGTCTTTAAAATAATCTATTTAAAACTGAGAATTCAGGACCCTGAATAAGGGCTGCAGTTTTAACAATATAGATGACAAGTAGTAACAAAATATGTACCCTTTGTACCTAATGGTCTATTAATAACAATCACAACACCTGAAATGTGTCTATGACTCGTTACATGTAAGTACATATGCATGAATGTATACATTTGTATTTGAACATGTCACTTGACAGTTCATGAAGCTCTTGTATACATCATCACATTTAATCCTCACAACAACGGCAGGGAAGTAATATTACTAGAGATAATCAGGGTCTGTTGTGAGTTTGGGGGTAGAAGCTGGGAGGATCATGGTTTCTGCTGAGGTGCTTTGCAGGGTCATATGGGCTATAGACACAGAATGTGGGCCTTGCTCTGATAGAGTGGAGATGACTAGAAAGGGGGCTTTCCTTGCTCTAAACTCAAGGCCATGGAAACCCCCTTTTCCTGATGAAAGTCATCAAATATGTGATGTCATAGCTTTGCTTTGGTCGACACTCATTTAATTCAATGTGATTATTTTCACGTTAAATAACATTTTAAGGTGCTGTTTTTTATGGAAAAAAAAAAAAAGAAATTTTAGTGCCCTCTGGGAAAAGGCTTCTGGAAAGACTGGCCCTTCCTAGAGGGCGGGTCAGAGGGCTTGGGGGATTGCACATCCTGAGGTCTGGATGAGGGACATCCCTGATTCCTCTTGAGCTGGACCCTTGGGGGATTGTAAAGATTGCAGTTGCCCTTCAGGTCTGTGACCATCCCCAGTTCTGTGCCCCGCCCTGCCCCCACACCCCACCTGGTTAGGTCACCTTGTTATTTGTCTACCTAAAGTTTCAAAGCTCAGAACTGACTGAACTTGAAAGGTAGCCCCAGGCCAGACCTCAGTGTGGCTTTGGGAAGCCGGGCCCTGCTTTCCGAGCCTGCTCCCTGAAGCATAAGTTGTCGAGTACCCACTTCCGATGGCTGGCTCAGCCCTTGGGGCCCATGGTCAGAAAAGTTTAAGTAAACAAAAAAAAATTTGGTAGCAAAAACCAAAATAGAAAAGTCACAGCTCTCTTTTTAAAGAAA